CCACCATTCCCCCTTTCCCCCAGAACTGTCAGTCCACTCCCCTCCCATATCGCCCACTCTACTACAGTCAACAGCTAATACTGTTCATCAGGTTTTTCAATCTCCTTTTTTTGTTGTTGTTATTTTTTTTTAATTAATAAACTTTTACACTTCTAAGAATAAATTTTAAAATCTAATTTTAAACCTTGTTTTTTCTGCTCTGGGAATTGAGAAGCAAACTTGTTTACATGTAAACTTGCCCTTAGGCTATCAAAAGGTGTAGCCATTCAAATGTAAATGAACACATTGTTTAAACATAGCTGCTGGTTGGAATTGATTACCTGTTCTGGGTGGGAAGGGCTTGTCCTCCCCTTTCTCCATTAAAATTAAGGTGTTAGCTTTAAAACCTCTTTTTGGCAAGAGACCTTAAACTTTCAGAACTTTCAATTTTTCAGATAGTAAATCAGTTACTTAGCATTTTCTCAAATCAAATAATGCCTCCACATGCCCAAGGATACACTTCACACAAAAGACATTTCCAAATAGATCAACCAACCTCATCCAGACCCCACCCAAGGCACTCAACACCCCAGTGCTATACTAACTCAACACATCCAGATCTAAGCCTTCATCACTTGATTCAGCAGCCCCTCAAGTTCCCCCAAAAGTTCCCAGCCATGTCTGAGAGGCAGCCCTGGGGCGTGGACAGGCGAGGAGCGAGCTGTTCCCGGCCTCGCTGTTCCGGGCCTGGCCTCTTTTGCTTTGGTCCGCTCCACAACCAACTGCTCCGGGTCTGGCCACTGCTGCTCCCCGCCTGGCTGCTGCTGCTCCGGGCCTGGCTGCTTCTGACCTGGCAGCTCTCGGCGCAGCAGCTTCGAGCCTGGCCGCTGCTGCTTCGGGCCTGGCTCCTCCCGACCCGGCTGCTTGAGGCCCGGCCTCTCACGGCCTGGCTGCTCCCGGCCTGGCTGCTCCGGGCTTGGCTGCTGCTGTTCTGGGCCGGGCTGCTCCCAACCCGGCTGCTCCGGGCCTGGCCGCTCCAGGCCTGGAGCACCCCCTCTTTTGCCACCTGTTGTATACACCTGCATTATTTAGTTTTAGTCGTAGATTTCCTCTAAGTCCATGATCTGCAAACTGCGGCTCACAAGCCATATTCGGCTCTTTGGCACCTTGAGTGTGGCTCTTCCACAAAATACCACAGCCTGGGCGAGTCTGTTTTGAAGAAGTGGCCTTAGAAGAAGTTTAAGTTTTAAAAATTTGGCTCTCAAAAGAATTTTCAATCGCTCTGTTGACTAATGATTTTGCCGACCACTGTTCTAAGCCAAAATAGGACCATTCTTTTTTTTTTTTTTACATATTTTTTTTTGCCCCCCTCCCTCCCACATATCCCCTCACTCCCCAGAGTTTTATGTCCATTGGTTGTATTTATATGCATGTATACAAGTCCTTGGGTTGATCTATTATCTCCCCCAGATCCTCCTCCCCTCCCCACTGTAATTTGACAATCTGCTTGTTGCACCAGTCTGCATTCCCACCAGCAGTGCACGAGGGTTCCTTTTTCTCCACAACCTCGCCAACACTTGTCGTTTGTTGATTTGTTGATGTTGGCCATTCTGACAGGTGTGAGATGGTACCGCATTGTTGTTTTGATTTGCATCTCTCGGATAATTAGTGACTTTGAGCATGTTTTCATGTGCCTTTTGGCCTTCCTTCTGTCTTCTTTTGTAAATGTTCTATTTAGGTCCATTGCCCATTTTTTAATTGGATCATTCATCTTCCTTTTATTTAGTTGTATCAGCTGTCTGTAGATGTTGGAGATTAAACCTTTATCAGTGGTGTTATTTGCAAATATGTTCTCCCACACCGTGGGCTTTCTTGTTGTTTTGTTGATGGTTTCTTTTGCTGTAAAGGAACTTTTTATTTTGATGTAGTCCCATTTGTTTATTTTCTCTTTAGTTTCCATTGCCCTAGGGGCAGTATCAGTGAAGAAGTTCTTTTGGCATACGTCTGAGATTTTGCTGCCTGTGGATGCTTCTAGTATTTTTATGGTTTCCCGTCTGATGTTTAAGTCCTGTATCCATTTTGAGTTTATTTTTGTGAATGGTGTAAGTTGGTGATCTAGTTTCATTCTTTTGCATGTGTCTGTCCAATTTTCCCAACACCATTTATTGAAGAAACTGTTTGGACTTCATTGTATATTCGTGCCTCCTTTGTCAAATATTAATTGAGCATAGTGATTTGGGTTGATATCTGGGTTCTCGATTCGATTCCATTGATCTATATGTCTGTTCTTGAGAACAGTGGCTTTGTAATACAGCTTGAAGTCTGGTATTTAGATCCCTCCTACTTTACTCTTCTTTCTCATGATTGCTGTGGCTATTCGGGGTCTTTTATTGTTCCAAATGAACTTTTGGAGAGTTCTTTCTAGGTCAGTGAAATATGTCATTGGTATTTTAATGGGGAGTGCATTGAACCTATAGATTGCTTTAGGAAGTATGGACATTTTGATGATGTTGATTCTACCAATCCATGAACATGGTATGTTCTTCCATCTCCTTACATCTTCCTCTATCTCTTTTTTCAGTGTCGTGTAGTTTTCTGCATATAGGTCCTTTACTTCCTTAGTTAAATTTATTCCTAGGTATCTTAATTTTTTTGGTGTGATGGTAAATGGAATTGCTTTTTTAGTCTCTGTTTCTATAGTTTCACTGTTGGTGTATAGAAATGCCATGGATTTCTTGGCATTAATTTTGTATCCTGCTACATTGCCAAATTCATTTATTAAGTCAATTAGTTTTTTAATGGAGTCTTTTGGGTTTTTTATGTACAATATTATGTCATCTGCAAATAAGGATAACTTTACTACTTCTTTTCCAATTTGGATGCCTTTTATTTCCTCCTCTTGTCTAATTGCAATGGCTAGTATTTCCAGTACTATGAAAATAGTACCATTCTTAATTCTTTTTTTTTTTTAAATATATTTTATTGATTTTTTACAGAGAGGAAGAGAGAGATAGAGAGTTAGAAACATCGATGAGAGAAGTTTATGTGACACAACTAGTACCTTAAAAGCTCCTTTTGGCCTTTTTCCCATCACAGCTTCCCTCTCTGCCAGAGAACCAATATGAAATTTTTACAAAAGATTACAGTCTTTTGTTCTTTTAAGAGTACTTTTTGTTTTGCCCTTATATAAATGGTTCATATGTATTTCTATTTGAATTTGTATGTTTCTTTTTTCAGCATATTTAAAAAATTTATTTTCACTGCTGAATTGTATTCAGTGATATAAATATACCTGAAATTGTCCTTTAAAAAAAAAAAAGGATATGAAGGATCAGATCATATATCATAGATCAATTTTATTACACAGGACAGATTTGTTTTAAAGTGAAGGGGTGATACTTGCTTTTGAAATTGTAGGCAAAAGTATCCATGGCTAATTTTTTACCAGAGAGAAATGGAAATGCAGGTATATGAGCCTTCCCCTCTCTGTCCACCCCTTTTAACCAACTGAGAATGTGGGTCTGTTTCTAGAAAAAAAATGATGGAAGCCTAAAAAGTTAAAAGATCAGTTATAAAGTGGGAATACTTAATGAACTTATCCTATCTAATAAAAGAGTAATATGCAAATTGACCATTGCTCCAACAAACAAGATGGCTGCCCCCATGTGGTCAAAGATCCTGCACCCATGTGGACACAAGATGGCCACCATAAGATGGCCAGCAGGGGAGGGGAGTTGGGAGGGACCAGGCCTGCTAGGGAGGGCAGTTGTGCGGGACCAGGTCTGCAAGGGAGGGCAGTTGGGGGCGATCAAGCCTGCAGGGGAGGGCAGTTAGGGGTGATCAGGTCAGCAGAGGAGGAAAGTTGGGGGTGACTGGGCCTGCAGGGAACGGCAGTTGCAAGGAACCTAGGCTTGAAGGGGAGAGCAGTTGTGGGGGAACCATGCCTACAGGGGAGGAGGGCAGTTAGGGGCAAACAGGCTGGCAGGAAAGCAGTTAGGCATCAATCAGGCTAGCAGAGGAGTGGTTAGGGGGTGATCAGGCTGACAGGCAGAAGCAGTTAGAGGCAATCAGGAAGGCAGGCAGGTGAGCAGTTGGGAGCCAGCATTCCTGGATTGTGAGAGGGATGTCCGATAGGATAGGGCCTAAATGGGCAGTCAGACATCCCTGGAGGAGTCCTAGATTGGAGAGGGTGCAGGCTGGGCTAAGGGACACCCCCTCCCCCATGCACGAATTTCATGCACCATGCCTCTAGTATTTAATAAATATTTGTAATGAAAATAATATAGAATGGGTAAATAAGCATAAAATCTCAGTGACTTTCAGCATTAAGCATATATTTCTTGCTCATGTTTTGGTGGGTAGGCCTGGACAGCTTTGGCCACCTCAGCTGGGTTTACAGCCAGGCCTCAGGCTTGATCCTTGTCTGCTCCAAGCATCTCGGTTTGGAACCTGCAGGCTACCCAGGCCACATTCTCTGCTGTAGAAGTGGCAGCTTCTTAGAGAGGTTTCACTGCTGCCCACATAAAGTTGCCAAAGCAGATCATCTGAACATGCCCAACATCAGTGAGGCAGGGACGTGTACTCCTCACAGAGGCTGGGAAACAGAGTGAACACACTCAACAATCATCTCACCAAACTTATGGTCATCCAGTTGTTTCCAGTTCACACCTATACTGCTGCTGTGAATTATGTCTCCTGTCGCACATTTGAGAGAGTTTCTTTAGAGTACAAGCCTAGAAGCTGAGCATTTTCAACTTGAATAGCTAGTATCACATGTACCTTTGCCCTGCACAGTAAATTGTGTTTTGCTTCTTGCACTGAACCACTGATATTTTTGATTTTGTGTATATTTAACATACAGTTGAATAATTTAAAAAGCACGCCTCAGTATTTTCAGGGAACTCAGTTTCCTTTCCAGCTACTGTTGTGGGATGAAAGCTGCACTATTAAGTCTGCAGAACAAAGTGCTGTGTATCTTTTTGTTAGCGCTCAGAATCCACTAACCTGTGTTCACTTGGCAGGTTTGGTGCAAATGCCAAAGTTGTGCATTTCCTGGGACGAATCAAACCGTGGAATTATACCTATGATCCTAAAACAAAAAGTGTCAAAAGTGAGTCCCATGATCCCACCATAACTCACCCTGAGTTTCTCAGCTTGTGGTGGGACATCTTCACCACCAGTGTTTCACCTCTGCTGCAGCAGTTTGGCCTCATCTCAGATACCCACCCGCACCTCAATGTGGTAGGTTCTGTTTCTTCTTTCAGGTAATTTAATGCTGTGGTTTTTATTTTGTTTATTTTAAATATATTTTTATTGATTTCAGAGAGTTAGGGAAAGGGGGAGAGAAATAGAAACATCAGAAATCAGAATCATTAATCAGCTGCCTCCTGCACATCCCCCACTGGGTATTAAGCCCACAACCTGAGCATGAGCCCTAACTGGGAATCAGTCATGACCTTCTGGTTCATAGGTCAAAGCTCAACTACTGAACCACACTGGCTGGGCAATGCTGTATTTTTTAAAGTTTTGTGCACCAGTAGACATGGAGTATTTGATGGTATGTTAACAAGTAATAAGATTGTGTGGATAGAAAACAATGTTCATCTTAGGAGAAATGTTGCCAGCAAAGACTAACGCAGAAGTAGAGTTTCTGGCAAATTTCCTCAAATCAGAAAACATAAGAAAGGGTTTTAGAGGTTTTACTATATTCCCACATTTTGTAACCATCAGCCTCTTAGTCCAACTGTCCTATGATTATTCCTAAAACAGTGAATGCCACGTTTCATGTTTTAGAAATTGCATACATTTAAACATAGTGATTTTATGTTTGCCAATTGCTCAGAAGAATGTATTTTCAGTGAAAATTATAGCATGGACATATAAATAAATACTTTTCCAGGATTATTTTGATATACCATGTTTGTACTCCTATATGGTTATATAGGATCTTAAAAAAGAAATCTTATAAAAAGATTTACAAGATAATAATTGACATATTAACATTTACAATAAAAAAGTGCTTAGCATCTTTTCTGACTTTAAAGTTCTTCCTCTAAGGTTTGCTCTTTTGGAGGAATTGGGAAAGGATGAGCAATTGAATTTTTGGGAGTTTATATGTGGGTAAAGTGGGGATAAATGGTGATGGATGGAGACTTGACTTAAGGTGGTGAACACACAGTACAAATGATGTATTTAGAATTGTACATCTGAAACCTATATAATTTTATTAACCAGTGTCACCCCAATAAATTTAAAAAAAGTAAAGCCTGCATGTTACAAAAGCTATAAAGAATAGAACTGTGGTTGAATTACAATCAAGTCTAAGTGATCAGTTAATTGCCTTTTTATCCTATATAATAATGAGGTAATATGCAAATTGACCACCATTCCAACACACAAGATGGCCGCCACAAGATGGCCAGCAGGAGACAGCAGTTGTGGGTGATCAGGCCTGCAGGGAAGGGCAGTTAGGGGCAATCAGACTGGCAGAGGAGCAGTTATGTATCGATCAGGTTGGCAGGCAGAAGCAGTTAGGGGCAATCAGGCAGGCGGGCAGGCGAGTGGTTGGGAATCAGCAGTCCTGGATTGTGAGAGGGATGTCCCCCAAGGGGTCCCAGATTGGAGAAGGTGCAGACTGGGCTGAGGGACACACACACACACACACACACACACACACACACACACAAAATGCACTAATTTCATGCGCCAGGCCTCTAATCAAGGTTATAAGAGACTAGTGGCCTGGTGTAAGAAATTCATGCTGGGGGAGTGGTATTCCTCAGCCCGGCCTGTACCCTCTCCAATCTGGGACCCCTCGGGCCTAAACCGGCAATTCGACATCCCTCTCACAATCTAGGACTGCTGGCTCCTAACCGCTCACCTGCCTGCCTGCCTGATCACCCCTAACTACCTGCCTGATTGCCCCTAACTGCTTCTGCCTGCCAACCTGATCGATACATAACTGCTCCTCTGCCAGTCTGATTGCCCTTAACTGCCCTTCCCTGCAGGCCTGATCACCCACAACTGCTGTCTCCTGCTGGCCATCTTGTGGCGGCCATCTTGTGTGTTGGAATGGTGGTCAATTTGCATATTACCTCATTATTATATAGGATAAAAAGGCAATTAACTGATCACTTAGACTTGATTGTAATTCAACCACAGTTCTATTCTTTATAGCTTAATTTGTAACATGCCTCAGCCCCGCCACCATGGCTTTGTCTGGAAGGTCTCCCAGTCTAAATAGCATATTATCCTTTTGTTAGTATAGATACTTCTCTTTGCTCTGTTATAGATTTTAGCCATTTCACTTATTAGCACTTGTAACAAAATATAAAAAGGAGAATGGGAAAAATAACTCACTGCTTACATTCTTACTTTTTTTTAAATATATTTTTATTAATTTCAGGGAGAAAGGGAGAAGGGAGAGATAGAAACATCAGTGATGAAAGAGAATCATTGCATTTACACATGCATATAGATATAGCAACAAAAAATAATCCAAAAGTTTTGTTCTGCCAGTTTCTGTTAAAAGCAATACCTACATGTATTCATCCACCTTGCTTTTTCTCTCTCAAGATTTCCAGTACCTTCTCACCTTAGAGTTTTTTGAAGGATAGCTTTGATATGCCTTTATAGTACAATTGAAGTTAATTGTGTCTCTATATGTTATAAGAATCTAATATAGAGTAGGTTTGCTCCATTTCCTGGACATTCATTTTGTTCCTTTCACAACTCAAGGACTAAGAATTATGAACCAAGAAAAGTGACGCTGGGAATTGAAACAGTAGTTCAAAACTAAGCTAATTAAATGTACAGAAGCTACAAGATTAGATGCTACATGGTAATAAGCTTGAATAAGCAGATGAGTTTGGTGCATGGTCTCAAACCATTTAGCTCTCTTTTATGATGTGACAACTTGTGTATGTGGTGCAGCTCTCTGGTTAGGTTCTTTCCGAAGCTTAGCCTCTAAGGCAGTGGTTCTCAACCTTTCTAATGCTGTGACCCTTTAATACAGTTCTTCATGTTGCGGTGACCCCCAACCATTATGAGAACCACTGCCCTAAAGTATCATTTTGTTTAAGTTCTCAACCTTTCTGAGCTAACAGATCAAGACTTATGTATCATGAGACTGTGTTCCCTTGTCCATCATCTTACACTTTCTAATGAACTGTTTGCAGCTTTCAGACTTGGTCTATACACTACACTGGCTTTCTCTTGTGGCTTCTCTAGAAAGGTATGCAGAACTTAAACATTGACCTTAATTACTTTGTTCTCAATGTTTTCACTGAGTCAAGAAGTCTTCATTTTGTTAGGGGGAAAAATCATATGACCTTTGTATTTTTTGTGTCCTTTTTTGTTTGTTTCATGTAATACTTTTCAGTTTTTGCTACTTTGCATGATAATTCATCCTGGCTTTTCTCACCTTCAGTTTATTGCATTCTCTAAAACTGATTTTCAGCTCTCAAGGGGTCTCTAATTATGCTCTCCTTTCTAGGAAGATGTCTCTGGAGCCATGTCACATTTGTCCGTTGGGGAGACTCCGGCTACGGCACAGCCTTTTGTATCCTCAGAAGAACGGAAGGAGAGGTGGGAACAGGGCCAGGCTGATTACTTGGGAGCAGATTCCTTTGACAACATCAAGAGGAAACTTGACACTTACCTCCAATAGAAACACTGCCACTTTTCCACGGACACATCCATTTCACAGGCACTTTTTCCTTCATACTTATTACCTAGAGCTGGGTCTGTTACAGTTGCTAGAGGCTTTCACTGAAATTCATCAGATAAGGGGTTTTTGTAGGATTACAGCAGAAGTTATGAAGTAGCAATTGTTAAATGGACAATAAAGTAGCAATTGTTAAATGGCCTGTTTTTTAAACTTAGACTTATTCAGATGATGTAGCAGAAATTCTGTTATGCTGATTGACAACGTATGTGGTAAGGGAAACTCAAATGATTAAGATGGCTATATCAGCTCTTACAATGGGCTGAGCCAGGAGCCAGATCAATCTTTTCAGAGTGGGACATGGTATCTGTCTCTGGCTTGCTGTTACACCTTCATAGACATGCATTTCAGAATTGTCCAGGGCTGCCCAAGTGATTACAGTTCTGCTTTCAGGTGAAGACAGCCTGTAATACTGCTGAGTGATTCATAAACCCTTCAACAAATGGCATTAACCCATTTCCTTCCCTAGCTTTAGTGTCTGAAGATGCCCCCGTTTTCCATGTACAGTGAGGCAACATGCTAAAATGCTTCTATTCAGTTCTGTATATCTGAAAACAGCAGTGGCACCTTATATGAAAAATAAAAGTTATTGCCATATCTTATTGTCTAGTTTAATTAAGGATTCCTACCCCATTGGAAAAAAAATGTATTGGTGGATTTTTCATAATTTGTAGAATGTCAGTGGTTTAAAACCAGTGTAAAACTTGGTACTAGAATATATGCTTTAAAATTGGTTTCCAGATAGCGAAATATAATTAAATCTAGAGTTCTGTAGTGGTGGAATGGATCTGATAGATGAAAGTGAGATCAAGCTCCTCTAATCTGTGACCCACATTGCATCTCCATAGGAAATGAGTATTCAGATTTAGAATGCTGTGACCTTAAAATCATCATGGGTTCATTGTCAGTATCGGAATATACTCAGTAATCTTCTAGGACTGTTAGAATCAATACTGGACCCCAGTGTCTTCTGGTGTTTTTTATCCATGGCTTAAAATGATAGAAATGTGAAGAATATTTATTAAATGTACAAATGATTTTAGGTTGTAAGGATGGCAAGCTAGGAAAGAGTAGGATGCAAAATGAACTTTTAAAACTAAAGTGAGTATTCAGAAATCATTCTATTGAAGAAAACAGGGGAATACCATTCACAAAATGAAGCTTGAGGTTTAATTGGGCAGAAACTTACAATGGTTTTTATGACCTAAACGTCAAGATCACCCTTCTTTATTTCCACAATATCCCACCGGTTACATGGGTTAGTCCTATTAAATATCAGTGTAAATGAATACACACGGGTCTGGAATTCTATAGTCAGAATGACTGGAGACTACCTTGGAGGCTGTCTACCACAAGAGCTCAAGAACATGTGGATTTACCCAAAATTGTAAAATATTAAATTATTCCTTGCCGAGACCGGTTTGGCTCAATGGAAAGAGCATCGGCTTGGGGACTGAAGGGACCCGGGTTCGATTCCGGTCAAGGGCATGTACCTTAGTTGCGGGCATATCCCCAATAGGGGGTGTGCACGAGGCAGCTGATCAATGACTCTCTCTCATCGATGTTTCTAACTCTCTATCTCTCTCACTTCCTCTCTATACAAAATCAATAAAATATATTTTTAAAAAATATATATTAAATTATTCCTGAAGGAAAAATAAGCAACAATTATTTGGACTGCTAAATACATAAAGCATTGTTAGGTGCTGTGCTCTGAAGTCTCTCAAGATACTCCAAGTCTAAGGATCTCTGCATCAGGGGGTATGAGCTAAACTCTTCCCCTGAGAATCCAAAGCATAGAGAAATATGGCTAAACAGAAATTTAATTTCTTTACAGTGTAACTTGCAAGTCATACAAATGAGCCTTTATTTCTGGACAATATGTATAGTTTCAAAGTTCAGTGTTACTTTCACAATCCCAATGATCAAAGATAATTGTCTGGTTTCAAGAAAATACTTGAGTATATTCCAGAAATAACATCTACCAAGTATATATCTAGTACCTACAATATCACACATGTAACAGGCATTATAAATATAGGACAAGATATATCTCCTTATAGTCTAGTAGGGAACAGACCAAAACAGAAACTAACAAATATATACTAAAGTACACTAACAACATTGACAGGCAAGATCCAGCCTTAGGGTAGTCAAGAAAGATTCTGCAAGATCCTGATTAAGCCAGAAAGAGAGGTACTATCCCCTTAAAAGGGAAACATGCCAAAACTGGTTTGGTTCAGTAAATAGAGCATCAGCCTGTGGACTGAAGGGTCCCAGTTTTGATTCCGGTCAAGGGCATGTGCCTTGGTTGCAGGCACATCCCCAGTGTGGGGTGTGCAGGATGCAGCTGGTAGATGTTTCTTTCACATCGATGTTTCTAACTATCTCTCTCCCTTCCTCTCTGTAAGAAATCAATAAAATATATATATTTAAAAAAATAAAAGGGAAACGTGAGGAAAGGCCTGGAGCAAGCAAGAACTCAATGGAAGGAAATGATACCAAGACAGGATGGAGAGGTAGGAAGTGGCTTCATAGGGCAAGATGTAGGTTTTTGATTTTATTCTAATTCAATAGCAACTGATAGAAGTTTCATTCATGTACTTTAGATCTAATTTTTTGTACTAAAGAGAATTTAGAGATGCACACAAAAGTTAGTGGAAGAGTTTAAAGAACCCCTATCACCCAGCTTCAACAATTGTTTAATCTATATCCCCATCAATTCTTTCACACACACACACACACACACACACACACACACACGCCTATCTGGAGGCAAATGCCATATAAGAAATTTCATATGAAATATTTCCATATATATCTTTAAGATGTAAGAACTTTTTAAGATCACACCAAAATACAATTATTTCCAAATGTCTTCATTCCCCTTTGTCCTTATCAGGATCCAACTAAGGTCCAGACAGTATAATTGGTTGATACCTCTCTAGTAGAATCTTCTATTTCTGTACCCTTCCCTTTTGTTCATTTTTGTCTCCTTGCAATTTATTTATAGAAACCATATTATTTGTCCTGTAGTCCCCCACATACTGTATTTTGCTCATTGCAGTTTGACATGTTTCCCTGTATTCTATTGACAGTACTTTAGAGTGGTGTTAGCAACTTCCAAATCACTGGTTACCTTCATATATTAACTGCTATTGGTGATCATTACTTAGATATTTCATTAGGGATTTCAAAATGGTGATAATCTTACTAGTTGAACTATTTCTGTATACTTCCATTCATTGATAATATGGTTATCCTGAGTCTAGATTTATATATTTACTAGTAGACTGGTGCATGAAATTCGTTCACATTAAAAGGGAATTAGAAGAAATAATTTAATATTGCTGTTTGCCCTTTCTCTATAATAGAAGTGTCAGAGATGAAAGAAAATTAGTAAAATATAAATGAAAATCTTCTTGCCAGAGTCGGGTGCACACAGGACCCAGAGTCAAGTCCCCACCCACCTGTGCCTCGAAATTGTGTGAGATCTAGACCCGGCCGGCCCCACCCCTGTCAAGCCCCACTCGGTGGGGGTGCCCTCAGGTCCCATGGCCCAGTGCCGGGCAGGGACACAGCCTCAGTTCCCCCGTCAAGACCCACTGGGCTGGGGTGCACCCTCAGGTCCCCTGGCGCTGGGGCAGGGGGTGTGGCCTGAGGTCCCCAAGGGCAGGAGGCACAGCCTCAGTTCCCCTGGCCTGTGGCAGGGAGTGTGGCCTGAGAGCCCCTGTCAAGCTCCGCCAAGGTAGGGAGCGTGGCCTGTCTCCTGTCAAGCCCTGCCGGGTAGGAGGAGTGTAGGCTCATGTCCCCCAGCTTAGCACTGGGAGGGGGGTGCAGCCTCTCAGGTTTCCTGTCAAGCCCCACTGTGTAGGAGGCACAGCCTCAGGGTTTCCATCAAATCCCCACCCGGTGGGGGGCGGAGAGCGGGGCGCAGCCTCTGGTCCCCCAGCCCAGCACCAGAGCAGGGGCTCACCTTGAGGTCCCCCGTCAAGCCCCGCTGAGTGGGGGGTGCAGCCTGAGGTCCCCTGTAAAGCCCTCCTGGGCGGGGTGGGGGTTGGGGGGTGAAGCCTGAGATCCCCTGCCCCGGCCCAGCACCAGGCAGCCTCAGGTCCCTGCTGATTGCTCATTAAGGCTCATTATGGGAACTCGACCTCTGCTGTGTGTGCAGCCATCTTGTGTTATGGAAATCCCACCTCCGCTGTGGGTGCCATCATCTCTGTGATGGCATAAGTCAATTTGCATATTCCCTCTTTATTAGATAGGCTGTGTACCGTATGTATTCATATGGCAGGATAAATGCTTGATTCTTTCTCTTCATTCCCAAGTATGCAATATAAGGACTTAGTTTCCTAGCATACTCCAAAGTTGACCATGGGAGTTTTGTTATAGTACCAGTATGATTAATAAATTTTAATATAGTTTTTGTTTCAATCCATTGCAGTTTTCTTAAAGATGGTTTTATAGTCTTACCTATGAAACTTACATTTTAAAAACATTACTTTCAGCTGGTGGGAACTAGTTTGAATGGAAGGCCAGTTTATTGTGGTGGTCCTGGCAAAAGACGATGTTGCTGATGGACTGGATGTGAAGAGTCATGAAAAAGAAGTAACTTTTCCTGATCAACTAAGTCTCTACCTGGATGCTCCTGAGAACACCAGATTTAATTATAAGTACAGCTTCTTGGGCCTCATCACTACAGATTCTCATTCAATAGATCTTGGGGTAAAGCTCTGGTATCTCCATTCTAAGTAACAAGCACTGCAAATGACTCTGATCTAAGTGACGTTTGAGAGAACCACTTGATATGGAAACATTTACCTAAATAAAATCGGGAGTCAGGTTTATAGGAGATGTATAAAAAGGTGAGGAGGTTGGTTGTTGCATAGCAGAGACTACTTCCAACTAGTGAAGGCTTTACAAAAGACAATCTCAACTCCTTG